AAAGAAAACATTCAAAGCTAACAGTCAACTTACCCATGGAGCTGGCCACTTCAGCATCGGGGAGTTTACCAACAGATTTTCCACCCCAATCTCTCAGTTAACGGCTCTCCCTTCCCCCTTGGATCCTCTTTACCTACCTCTTTTTGGCCCCATTTCTCTTTCTTTGGCAGTTTTCACAGAGGAAGTTTTCTGCATGTTCAAACTGTCTCGCTTATAGAAGTAGTTTTCTATATATTCTCTCCCTCCTGTAGTCTGAGCACCCAGCTTGTAGGATGCCTTTCTTTCTCCAACATGATCTACTGTAATCTATCGTTTTTTATGCAACAAAGTCAACCAAATTCAAAAAAAAAAAAATGTATACACATCCTTCCTCACAAATATTCATTTCTTAATTTGAATTCACCATGAACCACTTATGCTTCCATTTCTATACCATCAGCAATCGATCCTTAATCTTCTCAATGACTTTGCCACTGGAATCATATGCCTGATTCAAATTTGTTTTAGGGACAACCATTATTCTGCGCTAACTCAGTGCTGTCTTTAGCTACATGTCATTACCAAGGAGCATGGTTCGTTTTTCTAGAAGGTTGTTTCCATTGTTATGGCTATGTTGCAAGGACACGGTCAAGGATTTGTATCTGAATCCGATTCGAAGATCCAGCTCACCTACCTATAATTTGCCAACCAGCACGATGTGACTGTACAAGTCTGTACGGTGCATACATGTCTATATATAAATATATAAAATTAATTTGTCTTTTTAATTACTAAATTAACTTGAAAAGTAAAACACGTCCAAATGAAAGGCAAGCGTGTCCAAATCATAGACACATGCCAGTAGTGCGGGCATGTGTATTACAAAATGAATGTGTCACACTGTCTTGTTCGTCTAGTATGTGGCCTCCAGTGTTCATATAACACGTAGCAGACACAGTGTGTCTGCAAATCCAGAAAATGAAAATATTGAGACACACATGTCAACATGGATTACTTGTATGCATCTCTTGTTTGTCTAGTATGTTGGCGGGTTGGGTTTTCCCAATTTCCTAAATGCACGTGATGCACATGTTGTTATTACATGGCTTCTAGGTCATCCCAACTAGAGGTAAAACCCCGAGTTGTCTACACTATTAGGTCCATTACTTCTAGTTATGGTCTTTGCTATGCCTTGCTTCCACACCTTATCTACACCCTTCCATCCCATTTATCCTCTTTAAATTGCTGTTTGAGCTCATTTAAGATTTCAGCTTAGTGCCCTCTTAATTCCAAAACTATGTTTTTCTTATTTTGTTCCTTACTCGTGTTTAGCGATAAAAAACTGTGTTGTCAACTAAAAGCTGGCCAATTTTTAGGCCCTTTAACCATGTTGTATGGGTGCAGGTATGCATGTGAGTGTTTGCCACGGCCCTCGGGTCTAGGTGTCAGATCCCTTATGCCATGAAAGAGGATTTGGCGGCTATATTATGAAGAGACAACTTAGTTCAACAATTATTTGCTAATATCCAATTTCTTATAACTAGCAAGATGTAATCAACTATACTTTAATTGGCTGAACCCATAGTTTATTTTAGAATTCCGTAGACATTATCAAAGTTCACAAAAGTCCTACTCAACCAAAAAAAAGCGATCAACTTTCTAAAATGATGTACTTAGTTTTTAATAAAAGAGTACATTTAAAAAAAAAAAATGCAGAAGGATCCAGAAGATATCCGAATCCATATTTGTTTTGATACTTGTCCAACACGAGTATGGCACCCAAACAGAAAAATCCATGTAACATAGCCCACTAGACTTGCAACCAATAAGCTCCTATTATTTTGTCCCGTGATCTTTGGTCAGTTATGCACCACCTAGATGGCTTGTGGAGGAGGTCGAGAATTCAGAGTTTGTCACTCAATACAAACGAAGTTACTTCTTCCTCCTCTCCCAAATTCTTAAAAAAGAAAAAGAATTCCCTTTGCCCTACTGTCATCTATTGAGTCAGCCCTATAATCTTTGTCTCATTGTTTTACCAAGTTCCACCTACCAAAGCAAACGTTCATTCAGTTCATATGAACACCTTTCCCATTATTTCCTACTATGCCCATACATGTCTATCAATTTAACCTTGTACTCCATAATATAGTTTTGTAAATGAACTTTGCCTTGCCATATCTTATGACGTTGACCCCATTGCCCCATCCCTTTCACTTGAAATGCCTAAATGGTCCCTAGTTTCATTTCATTTTTGAGCCAGCACTCATCTGATTGATTGCCTTGGGCTTGAATCTTGCCTTTCGAAGCCTTTCCTCATCTCATTGAAAACCTAAGGATCCAACTATTGTGTCTCCAAACATACAAATTTTATTGTACATTCTGCTCCATTTCATTCGATGGTTGAGTTTCTTTTTCCCAAGTCCTTTTGGGTTTTGTCATATACCTCTCTCTATATTTTTGTCTGGACCCTCTTGTATCGGCTCTTGAATTTTTCCAAATTGCGCATCAATTCTCGTTGTTTTGGGGTATTTTTGAATCAAAGAACCTAAAACTAGTTTTATTGGATATGGAACATGAAACTGGACTATATATGGCATTCCGTATTCAAAAATAGGCTTGAAACCTAGGAGACGGGCATTGGGGCCTCATCTCACCTGAAAACCCCCTAAAAGGTGGGGTAGATGGTGGTTTTGAATTAAGGATGGCCCACCAACCGCAAAGCACAGGGTCACCCACTCCGTCAGTGAGCTGGTAACATTTAAGTTGGAACTGCTATAAAAGTCGGAAAGTCTTGGGAAGGCCGCCAAACGGGCACATATTGGTTTTGGTGATGGATGACCTCACAGATAAAAAGCTGTGAGCTTTGGGATCGGTTGCAGCGTAAAGCCCACAATCAGAGGACTAATAAGGGTTGTGGTTCAAGCACTATGAAGATGGACGCAAATTGCACCAATTTGAGCCAAAATCTAATATAGTGTACCTCCAAGATATCCCCCAAAATAAGGTTATTATGATATGGGGAGACTGAGATATAAAAGAAACAATTTTGATAGTGTGGAGGATGGCCTTCGTAGCACGGAAAAGAGTGCAAAATTACAAAGGAGCCTTTGTAAATCGGTACTTGGCAGTCCTGAAACTTTCAAGGATAATATCGAAGTGCTCAAAACTCTCAACTTTAAAATTTGGGTCAATACGCTATCATTTGGTGCTGTTTACTATAGATTCTTGCATGTAGCGTACTTTTCCTATGCTACCTCGAATTACTATTCACCGTTGGGTTAAAATACTACAAAACAGCCCCAAATAGTGATTTATTGAGGGCCTTATTTCCCAAACTCCATGGAGAAATGTCCTGGTTTTCAAGTATTTTTTTCCTTGTTGCAAGAGCTTTCCATCCAGGTGTATATCTTGTAGACTCCTACTTGGGATCATGGAGAAAATCTAGAGAGAAGTTAGGTGTTTGTGAATTTTGTAGTTTGCAGGCTTGGTAGGTGACCTCCACTCACCTTTTCGGGAATTTATTCCATTTTGGGAGGAGTTTTAATATGAGACTTGATCGTGCAGACATCCTCTTTCTGTCCATATAAGATATGCAATGATCCTTTCAAAGATTATGATCCTTTCAATGGTTATTGGTGATTTTGAGGCCCAATTGCTGCTACGTTTTATTATGCTGCTAAAATCCATGATTCACACCCATTAAACCACCCTTAATTCTCAATGTGAGTTTTGGGATGAGATGTATCGCAAAATGCTTCTAAGTTGGTTGCCTACATCTTTACAAAGCCTGATTGGTAGCAAACCAGTGAAAAAATGGCAAAATAAGGGCCGAAGTGATGGATATATGGGATCCCAAGCTTTCCAAGGGTAAATAGTTTGTAGTCTCATCAAAATAACCCCAACAAAATTGCCTTTTTGGATAGTGACAGGACAAAAAGATTTTCTACTCATCTATCATCTTGAACTTTGATTATCCACCCATTTCAGGTCATTTGAATGGTTGGAGGTTGGAGGTTGGAGGTTGGAGATTGGAAACTTGAGAGAGAAGCTTAGAGAGATAGAGAACTAGAGCAAGCTAGAGAGAGTAACTCCCACAGGGAGAGAAACCCTAGCTTTACTGCAAAGAGAGAAATTCCAACCCCATCCAAACCCTAGCAAGTCATACATCAACTTGAGCCAAAATCCTAGCAAAGATAGAGAGCCAAACCATCGAGGTATCGACCGACATGATATAAGCTGGATGGTCTAAGAGGATCCACCTAACTGGATCTGGGAGATTCTAAACCCAAATCTAATTTGTAATCATTTATTTTCCTAATTCAATAGTTTTGTTTCGTATTTTTGTTGTGTTTGCTTGATTTTGGATTCATTTATATATTCTTGCGGGATCACACACAAAAATCGGGTAACACTTGTAACTAGGGATACATTAACATGTATCCCCCCTTTTGACTCATTTTGAATTATTTTTTATTTTTTGGGTGGGGCCTGATGGTGGGGGGTTGGCAACCATTTTCCACCACATCTGTCATTTTGTGTTTCCTTTTCCTATTGATGATATTTATGAAGCTTGAGTCTTTTTCTTTTTGCAACCCATTTCCACCATATCTGTCTTTTATGTTTCCTTTCCCTATTAATTATATTTATGAAGCTTGAATCCTTTTTTTCTTTTAATTTTGCTTTTGAGTTGCCTAATAACATGTAGAATGGCAAAGAAAATTTTTGCTTTTAAGTTGCCGAATAACTTGTAGAATGGCATTATCAGCTATTTTGTTTGATGGAAATGAGGCTTTTACCTTGTGAACTTGCATTATGGATTATCACTTCTACGGTGCAGATTCGAGTTCCCTTCTTGCCAATCAATAGATTTTTATTCAGCAAAACGTTATCCTCTTTCATGGACTCATATTGATTTCACTATCCCTTGTGATTGTGCTCATAGATCCACTTCATAAGTGAAAATTTTGGATGCCTATATATATTATTCACTCATTTATTATTAGTTTGCATTTTGACTGCAGAGATCAGAATGGAAGTCGCATCAACATGAATGCTTAGCTCTTGTGAACCTCAGTGAAGAGAGGCGGAACATGCTGACATCTTCTATACGTTTGATGGTGAGGCTCCTCTTGAGGAGAAGACTGCAGAATGATAGGGTGAGTTACTTAGTATTGTAGCAATTGCTCTTTATTCTGATCATAAAATCCTTCTTTCCAATTACATATTTATTCTCACAACTATTCGTGTACCTTGAGTTTTCCTTTATATTCTGCTTTTGATAATATTGAAGGTTTGACCTCTTATACTTGTTCTTTTTTTCATAGTAGAAGGCTTTAAAATGAGGTTCTGTAGTTTGGTTTATCGCAATCAATCTTTACAATGTATTTCATGTGCACTTTCTATTCAGAGGTGGTGGTTTTGCCGTTAATGGTGGAGTTATTCTTTATTAGGTCATTTCCAGTAATGTGACGGATAACTACAATTTGGTTCAAGAACTGGTGGCTCGTATCCTTATTTGGTATCATTTGCTTTATGATATAAACTCTGAATCCTTTGTGGTTTTTTATTATTTGGGGATGAAACTGCACAATTAACCAATGATGTTTTTCACCAAGATATGTCTGACATTGATGAAAAAAAGCTTGTGCTTTATGCGCAAATGGCTAACCTAGTCAAGTTGATATTACCAAATGAGGAGATAGATGTAAAAGAAATCGTGCAAAACTTCTCGAGGGTAACTTCTGCATCCTCTTCTGAATTTCTTCCTCAGGTCTCTTAACTAATATTGCCTTGTGAGATTATATATGATGAATATTTGGTGCTCACCATCCTGCCCATTATATTTACTAGTTGTATTGCCATTATACTCATACGAGGTGCTTACTGCAAGAATTTAGCTTACTACAATATTGAATAATATTCTCTATTTTTTTAGTAATCCATATCTTTTTCTCTGAGGGGTTTTGAAGCACATGAACGTAGAAATATCTGGTTGTTCTCTATATCAATGAAAGTTTGTGCAGTCAAGATAGTTGCTTATGAAATTTATTCATATCAATTTAGAGTTATGGAGTTTCAATGATCAAATTTAGCTGCTCTTGGTAGTTCCCTATTGTATTGAATCCCTGAAAGTCAAATGAAAGCATTGGATAACCATGGAATGTTGCTTGACTTGAATGAAGCATCTACAGATCATGAGAGAGATTATCTATGTAATTTGCGATATTGAAGATTTTTTTGTTTTTGATGGTTATTATATTGTGGAATGTTTCTGAAGCAAATGCATCTAGAACAATTTTATATGTTACATTCAGTTAAATTTTGTTGCAACAAAGGTTCCACGGAATTTCACAAAGTAATTGGAGTTATAGGCTTCCCTGATAGTTCTTCCTGTTGGGTTTGTAGGTATGTAGTGAGGAAAATAAATCTTTGATGATGTAATTTTATTATTGGAATTCATTAGGTTCTTTGGGCAATGTGTAGAGATTTTATTTTCCCATGTAGTCGGAGTGCTTTCCTACTAAATATGGTTATGATTTATGCTCCCCCAAAGCTGCTAAATTACCTTTGCACCAGCACAACTACCCCATCCCCCCCCCCCCAAAACCATATCAACTACCACCAAAAGAAGAAAGAAAAACTGGAGAGACTAAATTATTGTTAAAGACATCAAAGCTAATGCAACCGTAAGTCAAATGAGTCATGGTGATGGATGAGACAATTCTTGAACAAGACAGCAAAGCTCATGATGCAGTGCCACTTGATAAATCTGGATTCCAAAAAGAAGGTTAACAAGTTTGAGAATTTAAAATCCTTACTTATGTACTTCTTGGAAAATTACTTTTTGCAAGAGCATCAATCGGTTGTCTCTAAAAACGTGTGCTGGACTGTGAACTGTACCAGATTGTTGTGGGTTATTCGGTGTGGTAGCGCTATTTTTGAAAGTGGGTCTCAGTGGTCCACATGGATTCTTATCACATGCTAAGTGGTTTTGCTCCCAGAACATAGAAATATTATTTGATACTTCAGAAAAAAAGTCCCCAATCTGCATTAAAAATGATGTCCGATGCCTTTATTACCAAGAAAATAAAATGTGATTGAAGATGCAAATAGCAAATTGGAGCTACACCAGCCCAAAAGAAATCCCTTTTTATGCCCCATGAAATCTCCTTGCTTTACAAGATTTTTAGAATGATTAGAATATATTATAGCACCAAATTGATACTCCATCCACATTGGGGGGAACGTACTACCATAGGTTTATATTTCTCAAACAAATATAATTGTAATAAATTGTTCTTCTTGTTTCCACTTTGCTTAGGTCGATTGGAATTAACTTTTTGTTCCATCATTCACAAATAGTGTCTGCTGATACTGAAATGATTATTGGTCTATGAGCATCAATTAAGAACTCCTTGGTATCGAGCTAGTTCTTGAAGGCCAAGGACGAGAGGAATTGGGGCTCTATCTGTCTTCTCGGGCTGTGTATTCGCCTACTCTATCTTGCAATCTATACCGCATCAACTCTATCTTTCGTTAACCTACCTAGCCTCGTGATTCAACACCATTTGTAACCCTCCTACATTGCCAAGATGTAGCAAAGTTTGTTGTACTACTAAAAGCAAACAGAGAAAATTCCAATCTTATGCAGGATGTGCAGCATGCCTATCCTAGATTCCTTGTGCTAGCTCTAAGGAATCTATGAACTAGATGAGAAAGAATAATTCTTTCTAATGGACTATAAAAAAAAATTCCTATTAATAAATATTAGAATCTTTAAGGATTATATTTAAATGACTACGGATGTCTAGACTGGCTTGTTTAAATATATTCATTATCACTAATTCACTGTTTCGATAAAATCAATTTTGATAATGAATTATCTGTTATTTGGCGGTGTCCCTCATAAAATTATTTGAGATAAACTTATAGGTAGGTTTTACATACAATTTTATCTTTTTAAAATATCTTTTTGCTTTTTTCAAAGTAAATTGCTGAAAAGTGCATGTTTTTATCCAGAGGCAACTAAAAATAGCTAAAAAACACTGAAAACGGTCGATGATTAAATAATATTTGTAATACATCGTATGCATTGGACAACAAATAGAAAAAGGGGAAAAAAACATATATATATCCATTATATTTATTGTTATTACGGGATTACATCCAAGTTTTCGTTATTACACCACTATCCTAACAATTTTTTTTTAAAAAGACGGAAATGCCCATTTTCGGTTTTTCAAAAACCGAAATGGAATTGCATTCGGTTTTTCAAAAACCGAAATTTTCGTGCTAAAACATTAGCCTCTCTCCCTCTCTCTCTTTGCGCTCCTCCCATTAGTACTTCCAAGGGAAGAGAAGAAGAACCAAGGAGAAAAGCACAGGGAAGATTCAAAGCCATAACTTCTATCTCTCCCTCTTCAACATTATTGGTCTTGGACCACAGAGAAGAAGATTTATCCCTCTCTCAAGCCTCTCTCTTCATAGACAATCCCTCTTCCTCCCATCATTACCCATAGAGAGAAGAAGGTACAAAAAAACCCGAGGCTAGAGAGAGAAAATCCACAAAATGGACCATTCTACACTTGAACCAAAAGCAGACAGCACATGCTCCACCCCCTACACAAGTGCCCCTTCGTCTCCGCCACGCCACCTCTCCTTCTCTGCCCTTGCTAGCCCCACCCCTTCTTCTTCACATGCGATTAGTTGAAACCCTCCACACAGCAATTAGTTATAAGGGAAACGAGTGAGCGAGAGCTTCTAATCTCAACTCTATATTTATGGCCCCCTACCCCCGGCTTCTCTCTCTCTGTCTCTTTCTCCCTCGCAATCTCAACTCTCATATTTAAACCGCCCCCGACTCTCTCTTCACATTGCAAACTTCTTGCCCTCCATTATTACTTGCACAACAAAAGACGAAGAAGAATATGAGAGAAGAAAAGCACATTAGGGAAAGGAGCCTCTAATCCCAAAGCTCTGTCATTTATCTTATCCTCCCTCTCTCTCTCTCTACAACACTGCTTCCATTATTACTTCCAGGGGAAGAAGAACAACAAAGGAGAAAAGCACAGAGGAGACTGAAAGCCATAACTTCCATCTTTCTCTCTTCACCATTATTGGTCTTGGACCAAAGAGAAGAAGATTTATCCCTCTTGCTCAACCCCCTCTCTTGGCAATCCTCTTCCTCACATCATTACCCACAGAGAAAGAAGCTAAAACAACCAGAGTTTAGAGAGAAAAAATCCACAAAATGAATCATTAAACCCTTGAACCAGAATTAGATGGCCCCTATTATCGGTTTTTCAAGAACCGAAAAACATATAAATTCGTATTTTCAAAGTCCGAAAATTATTACTGTTCGGTTTTTCAAAAACCAAAAGCTTTAAACATCTCAGTTTTTGAAAAATCGAAAATGGGCAGCTCCGTCTTTTTTTATAAAAAAAGGTATTATGAAGTTGAAAAGATGGGTATAGATGTATTAATGGAAACTTGGAGTTAATTCTGTAATAACGCTAAATATAATGGATATATACGTTTATTTTCCCTAAAAAAATATCATGTAGACTATATTAATTTGGATAATTGTTTGGTGTGGCCAAGCTCACACCTGTTACTATGCGGGCTGGAGATCTACACTGTCCACCAAGACCAGGTCCCTTGAGTAATGGTCCTTCAAAGAAAAAGTAAAATCAACGGTTCAAATATTTTCTCCTAAAAAATATCATTTCTAGTTTTTAAAATATAATTATTTTTACATATTAATAATCTCCATGTTAAAGATTATATATTTCCTAAAAATTAGGATCAAATACTATTTTGAAAATAAATTATTTAGGGGCCTGCATTTCTACATGTGACTCCGTGGCCAGTATGCTAACCGCATCTTATTAATTTTGGATAAGATATTCTACTACTGATAAGATTAATTGTCATCCAAGCTGACCTTGCAATTACAACTATATCCTGACAATATTGTGCATATGTACACGATTATATGCATGACTTCCCATGGTGCAAACCAGTGGTTTAAAAAACGGATTGGTGCCCGGGATCAAGCACCCGAAAAACCCATCTGGATCGGTGAATCGGCGATCCGGGTGGGGAATCGGCCGAATCGATCGGATTAAGCCTCAAAAGAAAATCCAAAAAAATTATTAAAATTCATTATAAATGTTGTTTTTTAGGAATCCAATAAGAAATGGGGGTATTACATTATTAACTTTCATTGTTTTCATCAATATGCCAATATTTAGATGTTCTTTCCCCGTATGAACTTATGTTAACCATTATATTTACATCAGACAAAAGAAAAATCATAGAAGTATCATGGATGAAGTATATAATCATACATAGACTACAATAAAGAATTGATTAAATCGATGAAAAAATAGCCACAAAAATCTCGAATTGGAAGGAAAATCCTAATCCGATAAAAAGAAACCCAAATTATTACAATTTAACTAACTATAATTCAAAATTATTACAACCTAACTAACTATAATATTATATATTGAAATTGAAATTGTTGGTTTACATTTTATAGTTATTTTATTATACAAATAATAGCAAATCCAAAATATCTTATAATACCATCTAATTTAAAATGTATTATTGATAACTGTAAGAAAAAATAGTACATTACATAATTTATAATGCAAATAAATTAAAATAAATAAAATGAAAGATTTGGTTATCAATGTAGAAATAAATTCTAAAGTGGTATGATGTAGTGTT